TGTTACACAATAGGATAGTTGCATCAGCGTGCTAAATTTGCAAAACAAAATCAAAGTACCTTTTCCTAGTGTTACAACAGCAAATAAAAACGCGTGCTAAATTTACAAAGAAAAAAGTTTACAACCTAAATGTAGAAAAATAGAAAAAAAAAAATTAGGACCTAAATGTCCAATTTCTTGCCATATATAGAGGTTCTCCTCCTAGGGTGACCACGGGGGTTTGGACCCTCCACATCCAGTGTAACAGAGTCTTGTAATATAAAATCATGTAATTCACCATAACTTTCATGATATTCCTAACTGCAGGTGGACACACACGCCTGTTGTAACTGTTGTTCCTAACCACAGGTGGATGAGCTGTTTGAGGTTTCGGACAGGTTCTTCGCGCTGCCCATAGACGTGAAGGAAAAGTACCGACGCCCTTCTGACGGTTCCCGCGGCCGCCATGGATGGGTTGCCATCGAGAGGGAGAGGTAGGGCGAGGGTCTGCATGGGGGGATCCTGTGGTGAGGGTCTGCATGGGGGGATCCTGTGGTGAGGGCCTGCATGGGGGGATCCTGTGGTGAGGGTCTGCATGGGGGGATCCTGTGGTGAGGGTCTGCATGGGGGGATCCTGTGGTGAGGGTCTGCATGGGGGATCCTGTTGGAAGGGTCTGCATGGGGGGATCCTTAATGGTAAGTCTAGGATAGGATGGGTTGCCATCGAGAGGGAGAGGTAGGTAAGGTTTGTGGCTAACTGCTGAGATATGTTACCTACACGAACACCAAACCAAGCTGACTCAATTATGTCATACAAAGCCTTCTTCATTATGCATACTCTACTACCAGGTACAATATTACTATAGCATTTCTATCAATTAGCCAATTCACAGAGTTATAGCTTATAGAGAGAAGACGTTTGTTTGTTTGCTTGTTTTAGTTTGTCAGTCTTCTCAGTCTGACAATACTTGGCCCATGTTAGTGCATATGCACAGGATTAAGATGTTCCCAATTCTTTTGACTTAGATTTCAAATTTCCAAACGGGTCTGACCAGTAACTGTTGTCTCAACTACCTTAAGTCTTTAGTAAAATTCATACACAAATGGCATCATTGAAAGTACGTTGTACTGGTACGGTAAAGAAAAATGACAATTTTCTGTCTCCCCCCCAGAGTGGCTGCAGATCGCCCAGGAGACCTGAAGGAAGCCTTCAACATGCTGCCCCCTCTTCCTCCTGAACAGGTGGGTGGTTAATAACCTTTGTTAACCAGTTAACCAGCTAACCCAACAGGGTGGTTTTACTAACCAGTTGACTAGGTGGATAATAACTTACTAACAAGTTAACAAGAATGGATGGGCAGTTAGTAACCAATTAACCAGAAGGTTGATAACTTTAGCTATCCAGTTTACCAGAACAGGTGGTTGGTTACTTGCTTTTACAAACCAGTTTTAAACTGGAACACAAACCACAAAAGGTCTAAATGTTGATTTTCACTAACTTTCGACTGGTATTGATCAATATTGATCGACCAAGCAATTATTGGTCAATGAATTAATCTCTCCCTTCACAGACGTGGCCCAATGAGCTGCCAGAGTTGGAGAAAGTCGGAACGGCATTCTTCGACAAGTGTGTCCAGCTGACCTTGAGGATCCTGGAGGTCATGGCCATCGGACTGAATGTCCCGGTAAGTCAGCACAAACACTGGACAACACAACAGCCTGGTGGTTAGACAGTAGTATGATTGAACATTAGACATAGGATTTGCCGCAATTTTCGATTGTGCAACTCCAGTCAAAGGATGAGCAATTCACCACTGCCGTGACGTCACGTTATGCAGATGACACTTGTGACTCGGTGAGCAGTGGATCATACGTTGCAGAAAGTCTGATGGTTGCAATACCCTGATGTACATGTAGCACTGCATAACGTGACGTTACGGAAGCAGTAGATGGCTTATTCTTTGACAGCGACTGAAGTTGTGCAATGAAAAGTTTGTCATTAATTGATGATTGACCAATCAGATTGATGTAGCAATAGTAACAGTTCTGTTCCCTCAGGACATCCCCGGGTTCCTTGACCTTCACCGCTCCATGGGGAAAGGTCGGAACAGCTCGCTGCTGCGCCCGCTGCGGTACCCGCCTGTGCCGGACTGCGTCAAGGACAGGCAGATCAGGTGTGGGGAGCACACGGACTACGGATCCATCACACTGCTGTGGCAGGACGGGGCGCCTGGGCTGGAGGTAGCTTCAAATAAATACGTAATGTAAATGCAAGCTTCATAATCATATCAACCCAAGTTTACTTCACCTCTTCCAGTTAGTATTAGTTGTGATTTTAGCTGTATGATTATCTGTTTTAAACAGGTATGCAATTCAGCCTCTGGCTGTTATATTCTTTTAATGGCAGATGGATTGTAATGACCATATTACAGCATTCATTCATTCGGTCATTCATTCCCAGATTGAGAGCCTGGACCACCGCTGGGTGCCGGTACCGCCCATCCCCGGTACCGTGGTTGTGAACATCAGTGGTAGTACATACATAGTTATTACATGTACCTCTGTCTACATACATGTACCTCTGTCTGTACCCCAGATAGAGACCCTGGACCACCGGTGGGTGCCGGTACCGCCCATCCCTGGTACCGTGGTGGTGAACATTGGGGACATGATGCAGCGATGGTCTGGGGACAAACTCAGATCCACGGTCAGAACACAGTCTGCTCTATTCCACAAACATACAAGCATTCAATGTTTCTCAATGTCAGTTGAATCAGTATCATGAAAGTTCATTTGTAATGGTAGTTACATGTTTAAAGTTAAAACTTTTGGTCCAACACAAAAAACTCTCTCACCTAGAGCTTTCCACCAGTCACTCTGGTTTTCCTCAGTAGACTGACCCAGTGTTGACGTCACACTTCAAAGAAGCCACGTGACAAGCCTCACTGGGTCAGTCTACTGAGGAAGACCAGAGTGACTGGTTGAAAGCTCTAGGTGAGAGAATTTTTTGTTGAAAGTGTTAACTTATCCCCTTAAATCAGTGCACAGTATTGTTTTCAAGATGACACTATTGATATATTGATGTGTTGATATGTCGCCATCTTTTCTTCAGCCCCACAGAGTGGTTCTTCCAGATGAGGAGGAATGGAGGAAAGTACCACGCAGGTCAGTCTGATTCAGTTCACGATCACATCTTTTGTGTTTTGGAATATTTTACTGGGTTAGGGTTGGAGTCAGCCATGCTTCTTGAGTTGTCCTTACTTTGAAAAGGCTGCAGTACCACCTGCTAAAGCTAGGTGGTGCCATTGTGCTTACTGCGTAACTTCCCACTTGTTCCCACAGGTCCATCCCATTTTTTGTCCACCCTGATGATGAAAAGGCTGCAGTACCACATGCTAAAGTTAGGTGGTGCTGTTGTTTACCGTTACAGGTCCATCCCGTTTTTTGTCCACCCTGACGATGACGCCCTGCAGTACCATGTGCTAAAGCTAGGTGTCTCTGTTGTGTTACAGGTCCATCCCGTTTTTTGTCCACCCTGACGATGACGCCCTGCTGACCTGCCTGGACGGCTCCGATAAGTACCCTCCCATGACGGCAGAGGAGCATCTCAAAAACTTCGCCAGCAAAATCTACGCCGATCTTCCAACCGCTTTCGGCAAGACGAACTAGGAACTTTCGCCACTCAAGCTTCTGGAGACTTCTCTGTCTGTCTTGGGCCTAACCTAGCAAGATGGAGACACTCATCAAACAAACAAATAGCAAAATCTTCGCCGATCTTCCCACGGCTTTCTAGACGTACTAGGCTAAACTTTCACCTGCCAAGTTTAACCGTAATAACCCAGCAAGATCTACATCAATGTTCCCACTGCTTTCACAGCTTTCGGCAAGACAAACTAGGCTTAACTTTCACCACTCAAGCTTCTAAAGACTGTCTTGGGCCTTAATCCTAACCCAGCAAGATGGAAATCGTCATAAAACAAACAAACAAACAAATAAATAGCAAAATCTACGCCGATCCTCCCACAGCTTCCAGCAAGACAAACTAGGCAGAACTTTCGACCAGCCAAGTTTGAGACTTTGGTCTTAACCCTAATAATCCAGCAAGATGGAGATCCTCAACAAACAAACAAACAAACAAATAGCAAGATCTACGCCGACCTTCCCACGGCTTTCAGCAAGACAAACTAGGCAGAACTTTCAACGTGAACAACAACCTCCAGTCATTCAAAACAAGAGTACACCGGCATCTTCTTTCCACCACCAGGACTTCTGCATGTAGCTGGAACTTCCAATGGCTTTCATGGCTTTTGGCAAGATGGACTAGGCAGAACATTCCCCATCCAAGCTTCTAAAGACCTGTGCCTTAACGCTGATCCAGCAAGATATATGCTGATCTTTTTTTCTTTTAATGATGTTTACTCTAGTATACTTATTAACACCTGAGTGAAGTGAGTCGTGCCTTTCCAAAGGGCACAAGGTTGGTGACATGGCAGGATTCGAACTCTGGACCTCTTGGTTCTTAGCCAAATGCTCTGCCGTTACGCCACACAACCCCACTGCCTTTGGCAAGAAAAACTAATCAAATCAAACTTTTATTAAACATACACAAGAGAACTGTTACTCAAGCAGCTGTCTACATTTTAAAAACTCTAACAAATTTTTAACTGGTGTAATATCTTTTATGTTACATGTCTGAGAAAGAACAGTGTACCTGTTAAGTCATAAATAGTGTCATGTCAGTAATACAGGCTGTTCTAATGCACCATTCTCTACTGCATTGGTGTTGACCAAGGCCCCTTGGTGTTGACAGAGGTAGATCACTATAATAACCTTGTTTTTATTTTTAAATACAAATTTTATATAATATGATATATTATCCAGTAGAAATATGAGTTTCCAAAAACGTGTTTCCAGGGATGCTAAACGCCTGCAGGAATTAACAGTGAAAAAAATTAACAGTGAAAACAGTGAAAACAGAAGGCTGGGGTACGGGACTCATATCCACATTTGCATGTTGAACTTCCAGTACTTTTCAAATTCAACAACCAGCAGATTGTTTGTAATTGTGTGTTGGAATAAAGTTCAACGTTTTACTATGATTACTCCCAATGAGCTTTCATGATAACCAGCAGATTGAATTGTTCTGTAAATACTACAGATTATTATTGAATAAAACCAATATGCTACTATAGTGTTGTGGAAGCCATGATTGCTTTTTAATAACCTTGTTGCATAGAAAAACTTAGCAGCAACTCAAATAGCCACAGTTTCACATGTGTGTGCAAGGCAACCTTACAGATATCATTGCAAACATTCACTTAATATTATCACTTATGTCTATACATATTGGTCCACTGATACTTTCCAATATCAACATTGTTTCACTGATACTCATCACAAGATAGCACTAAACCTCTGAAAGAAATTGATAGCTTTGCTTTGCACAACTACATTGTACTTGCCATATAAACATTGTGCTGTAATGCCATAGAAGCCAGGGCCTGAATAGGCATAAAGGAACACAGCTCATATACATACATCTCTCACTCTTTTGGATGTCCATACATACATTGTACATATACATAAGGATATATATATACACAGACATGCAAACACACACACACAGGCATATAATCATAGACATCTGCACACTCCATATCTCTTACTACTGATCATTTGGATCCTGTAATTAATAAGTAACAGCTGTTTTCAACAGTGATTCATTCAATTGCTCATCACCTTGCTGACCAAAAAATACTTTTGAGTGAAAAAGTATAAAACTCATAAAAAACACCATTGATACTCTTTGGTGAAGTACCGAATGCCATATATCTTACTTAACTAATATATATACATACACATATCACCACTGCTGACACCAAGACACTTGAAAATACACAGTATACTGCCATAGTACACGTGGTGTCATTTATACTACCTGTACTTAGTTTCACTTACAATACATGTAGTTACATGTACCAGTGAATATCACCCATAACATAAGCCACAATGTAAAAGATGGCGGGACCAGATAGTACAGGACACGGGGTGGTCCCTCATGTACGCTGAACGAAAGGCTAAGGACCGTGATGCCTGGCGGGAAAAAATGAAGAGGAGCAAGGGGCCAGTTCTGGCCTAAGCATTTAGGAAGGAAGGAAGGTTAAGAAAAAATATGCCAAAAAGCGTATGGCGTATCTTATAACCTGGATGTCTAACCTTCATCGTCAACGTAAGAAAAAAATACCTGGGTGTCTAGGATAAGACATACTTGAAGCTAAGGTAGAAAGTACTTAGGAGTGTCCATGTGGTAATGATGGTCGCTGGAGTAGCTGTGACCACGGAAAAATGACCCAAACCTGCAACAGTGGACAAAGGATGTGTCAGTACATGTATATGGTAATGCCTTCTTGAGTTGTGGAGCTACGGTAGCCTGGGTGCCATCCTCTAGAGTTACCACCGGCTCCGTATTGTCGCTAACTACCCAGGCCTAGAGCCAGGCCAGAGCCTTGGAGGACGTGATCTTTTTTTTTTTTGAGATCAGGCGAAAATCCATGTGCACGCGGATGTCATCCATAAAATTAAGTCGGCGTGGCCTTACCTGGAAAAATGTACTAAAAACAAACCCTGAGGACTAGGTTAATGCTTTGATGCACTCAGTTTTATTCAAGTTTTCCCCCCTGCCCTCTATGATGTCAGTTTGCTGTATTCTCCCCTTGAAATGTTTGAGAACTTAGGAAATAAATTGATGTGGCCTGAGTATACAGAGTAACATCTAACCTGTCAGTGAACCGAATCCGTGGCTCCACCTCTGCAGAGTTAGTCGTGAGTTTGTCGTTGTCCTGGTAGTCCTTCACATCCGACGGGATCCTGAACTTGGCCATCTGAACTTCCGTGTCGCTCAGACCTCCGTGGGAGACACGAGCGTAGCCGAGCCTGATCAGCTTCTTATACATGATATACTCACACCAACGATCCCTGTCTGTCGAGTCTATGTCCTGTAATAATCAACAAAACAGTTACTCAAACAGCTACTGTGGGAGATTTCAGCATAGCCCAGCCTCTTGTACATGATGATATGCTCACGTAAGTCCACATAAAAACTGACTACAATGGAAAATCATGCTGCTATACCGAGTTGAGTGATGCAAGGACATTATTATGCAGACTGTATAATGTCCTTAAGTGATGCATGTACATGTAACAACATCCAGGCATATGCCCCCCCCCCATGATTTGTGAGTGTGAGAGTTTAGTACCACCTCCCCCCATTGATTCTGATCCCCCTGTTCTGTAGTCTCTGCTGGAAGGTTTGTTATGTAGGTTTGTTTGTTTGTACCTTCATGCCCCCATTGTTTTGTGAGAGCTGAGTTTGTCTGTTTGTTTGTTTGTTTGTGAGTGTGAGACCTGAGTTTGTTTGTTTGTTTGTTCGTACCTTCATCCCCCCGTTGTTGAGGAGTTTCCTGTAGTCCCTGCTGCCAGGCGATGACGTCACGTAACCAAGGAACACCACAGGGTTGCCGCTGGGGTGAGGGATTGTCAATTAATGTTTACAATTGAAACTTTTGATCCAACAAAAAGAAGTTCTATCACCTAGACCTTCTTTGTGTTGGATTGAGAGTTTTAACTTATAAAACATGTAACTACTGAACACAGATGAACTTTCATGATAGTGATCGGGGAGACAACTAGTAGAGGTGCCCCGTCGCCCCATCCATTGTGTTGTACCATGGAGAAGCCAAATAAAGAAATAAAGAAAGAAATTCTCAATCAAGTTTGTTTCATAATCCTGTAAACTGCCTTTAGGCATGACACACCAGTTTTGTACAGTAAGTAGCTGCATAAGACCAGACTGTAGGATTTGAACCACTCACACTGGGAAGGACCACTGCTCTCTTCAATAAGTGAGGTGGGATCTTTAACATGCTTGAGTTGTGGCCCTCCCAAACACGGGACCTCTAGATCTGGCTTTACATCCCCTTCTTGTCAAAGCACTTTTCATGTGAGATTTTTCAAATGCCGCTTTTTCATTACTTGCTTTAAAATTGACCTTACATGTACCTTGAAACACTGTTTTGTGACTAATAAAGACTTTTCTTACCAGCAAACTATAGGAACACACCTGTTTTTTGCTATTTCTGACAGGAACTCTGCCTGTAGTTTCCTGTCCAGGTTGTCCCTGAAATGAAAAAGTCAACAGTCACGGTTACTGTGATTATTGTGATAAAGGTAATTTTTATTACCTTTGTCTGAACTTTTGATATGAGGGTGCAAGGTAAAAGTACAATGTAGTACTAGTACATGTAGTATGTAATGAGAAATTCCAAAATGATTTTCAAAAACATTTATTAATGCATACATATGGCGTTTAAAAAACAGTCTTTGAAAAAAAACTTCCTCTAAGAATATCACTTACAACAACAAAAAGAACAAGATAACAAGCCAAGATTTGAGCTAACACTAAAAGTACAATGAAAAAGTTTAGCCTAAACTTTATGCTTCTCTAGTTCTCCAGACCGACCTGTCGTTCCCCATGTGTGTAGTGATAAAGTCCACCAGGCTGCCTGAGATGTTGATTGTAGCACTAATGGCCGGCGCCAACTCGCCGTGGGGGGAGGGCAGCATGTGGTGCCGAGACTTCATGATAGGATACTTTGACAGAAGCAGGTTCCTGCACACAGAGGGGTGAAATGTTGGATTGGCATGAAAGAAAATACTATGATTCACTTTTCTCTTCACATTTAGCCTCTGAAGAAGTCACACAGGTGAAACCGGTCGTGTGACAGGCTGAATAAAAGTTTCTAAACGGGAACTATGCGGATCCAGATGTCTTACTGAGGGACGGCTGTGTGTGCGAGATGTCGGTTAGCTTGAGGAATGACTATATACATGTAAAAATACACATCACTTTGTCTTCACAGTAACAAAATTTCATGGTCTGAGGAAAAAATTATGGATAGAAGTGACTCTTAAACTGTTACAGTGAACAAAATCAGGGATTACAGTAGTTTGGTTATAAGGTACTTGTAAAGCTGTGGACAATGGAGTCTTATTTCCAATTGTCTAGAGGAATTCCAGCTTGCAGTTGCTATTTCAACCGGTATCCCTTTTTCCATTTTTCATTCAAGCTGATGAAGTACACAGCTAATCAAGAGCTCGTTACTTGTTACTTTGTGCAGTCTTACCCCCATGTGTGGTCCCGTGTGGACACCCCGAAGTCTGTGTACATGTCCAGCCTCTCCCCCAGCCACATGGCCAGGCACCCCCCCATGTGTAGCCCCTGTACATAACCAGAGCTCTGCTTACCCCCATGTGTGGTCCCGTGTTGACACCCCGAAGTCTGTGTACATGTCCAGTCTCTCTCCCAGCCACATGGCAAGATCATTGTTCCCCAGGTACGGTTTGGAAGCATCACTCTCCAGCAAGGTGATCACATCAGCACCTGGGGAGGTCAAGTTCCAAGCATGGTAAAGATCCCATCGAACATATCAAGTCAGAAGAGAAAGTTGGTGGAAAAATCAGTGATGGTAAGCAGGGCTTGAAATTCATTTTTGGGACTAGGTGCACCCAACCTAAAAACTTACACACAAAAGATAAAATAAGATTGCTGTAACAATGATTTGATTTTTTTTGTGACATGTTATTAAAAATATGCTGTATACTACTATACTTTTACATCTTTACATACGTAAACCTACGAGAATATTTGGGTGCACCCACAGAAAAAAAATTGGGTGCACAGTTCCAATTTTGGGTGCACTAAGGTTTGCATGCACCCAATATGTCCAGCCCTGATAAGTGTATTACGTGACCTTTTTGCTGTTGAAGATTTTCAGCTGCTAATAATCTGCTGTAATGCCAGCTAACCAGCTACTAACAAGAAGACAGAGAATTCAGAAAGAGTTTTGTACCAGTTTCGTTCAGATTTTTAGTCAAGTCATGACCTTTCTTGCTGTTGAAAATTTTCAGCTGCTAACAATGCACTGTATTGCAGCTAAGAAGTACCTAACAAGTAGACAGAGAAGAAAGAAGAAGTTTTGTACCAGTTTCATTCAGCATCTTAGCGGCTCTCTCAAAGCTGGGCCAGCCGCGGTTGTCGTACCCAAAGTGGAACGTCCAGATCAAACCTGTGAACTCTTTAGGATCACTCTGGAGAGAAAAAGCACATCTACAATTTTAACATTCCTGGGGTCTTTTCTCAATCACTATCACATCTGTAATTCAAGCACCTAAAGCACTTATGAAAGCTCAGACTACTAGTTGAAGCAGAGGGTACACAAACATGTATCTCTCATTACCAGTAACTGAACTGGTGAGTTGTGTCACACTGGTAACAAAAATGGATTTGTTCTTGCTACAGTCCTGGGGTCTTTTCTCAATGTCTCTCACATCTATAATTCAAAGATAAAAGTTCTGACTTACTACTATTTGAAAGAGAGGGTATATTGCATTCCCAGTATCTAAATCTGTGAGTTGTGTCGTACTGTAGAACACTGAATTTGTTGTTACTACAATGTTGAAATGTAGCCACTAATGCCCTACCTTAGGCGGGTGGTTGAACGGTTCTGGGTTGTATCTCCACACAAATCCTCCCAGACCTCCGATAACAACTATGGACAAAACTGAAAAACAAGAGAGACACGTATGAAGTTACAAGTATGTCACTGCAAGCAATGGCCAGGATATATACATCATTGCACAGATGTATTGAATGACAATCTGTTGTTCAGCACCAAGGACAGGAACACACATCCCATGTATGTAGTTGTTATTGTATCAAAAACTGTGCCTATCTAGTTCCATGCCTGAATGGAATCAGGTATGGTGCTAGATAGTTTTCACATGTGCAAGAATGGAGATTTGCCTCAGGCACGGTTCTGGACACAGGTGGACTTTTCAGAACTTTGCCTGAGTTCTGGATTAAGTACAGTTCTGGACAAAGCACAGTTCTGGACAAAGCACAGTTCTGGATAAAGCACAGTGCTGGATAAAGCACAGTTCTGGATAAAGCAAATATGGTTCAGGATACAACAGTAGTAGAATACCAGAGCCAGGACTACTGTACTTACATGGCCCAACAAACGTCTGGAAGAGGTTGTCCTGAGGTCCTGAGTTAATATTGAGGAAGGCCAGGCATGGTTCTGATTACCACTACCAGTGGACTATCAAGAGCCGTGCTTGAGCATGGAAAGCATACTTCTAGATGAAACAGTTGTAGAATACCAGAGCCAGGACTACTATACTCACATGGCCCAACAAACTTCTTGAAGAGGTTGTGTGGTCCTGCTGAGTTGATGTTGAGGAAGGCGAGACTGGAGGCTCCAGGTCTGGTCAGGTGCATGGTGGCTCCTATACACAGTATGGAGAAGGCCAGCAGGATGTAGGTTCTCTCTCTGGGGGAAAACAAACAAAAACTCTGCTGAAATTTCTGGCATATTCCTAAACAAACAAAACTTATAATAAAACAAGGTCATGTACTGGTATATAGTTCCCACACACAGCATGGACAGGGCCAGGAGGATGTAGGTTCTGTCATACACTGCAGGAGAAAAGGAGGAAAATCCAATTCTGGCATGTTTGTAACCAAATAAAATCTAAAAACTGGAAATTTTTTTTGCTAAAGAGTAGTAAAGACACTACTGAGTACAGTTTTGAATAAATAAAATTAGTCTAAAAATTTCTGTATGTGCCATACAACATTTTTGTGTTAAGAAAAACAAACAAAACAGCAGTACCTTGTGTATTCTCCAAGTGGTACAAAGTTGTAAGCCATGCACCACACCATGTTTACCTGGTATTGTTTGTTTGTTTGTTTGTTTATTTACCTTGTATACTCTCCAAGTGGCACAAAGTTGTAGGCCGTGCACCAGACCATGTTACATGGTATTGTTTGTTTGTTTGTTTATTTCTTTGTTTGTTTATTTACCTTGTATACTCCCAGAGAGGTACAAAGTTGTACGCCGTGCACCAGACCATGTTTACCTGTTTGTTTGTTTATTTACCTTGTATACTCCCCGAGCGGCACAAAGTTGTACGCCGTACACCAGACCATGTTTACCTGTTGTTTGTTTGTTTGTTTGTTTACCTTGTATACTCCCCGAGCGGCACAAAGTTGTAGGCCGTGCACCAGACCATGTTTATTATTCATGCAGTATAATCTAAACCAGGATAGTGAGTGAGTGAGTGAGTGTACCTATCATGAAAGTTCATCTGACCCAGTGAGACTTGTCACGTGGCTTTGACCCAGTGTTGACATCACACTTCGAAGAAGCCACGTGACAAGCCTCACTGGGTCAGTCTACTGAGGAAGACCAGAGTGACTGGTAGAAAGCTCTAGGTGAGAGAAGTTTTGGTGTTGGATCGAAAGTTTTAACTCTAAACATATTTATTTACCTGTTGTTCATTGTTAGTTTACCTTGTATACTCCCCGAGCGGCACAAAGTTGTACGCTGTACACCACACCATGTTTGTTTACCTGGTATTGTTTGTTTGTTTGTTTATTTACCTTGTATACTCTCCAAGAGGCACAAAGTTGTACGCCGTGCACCAGACCATGCCGAACATCTCTACCAGATACACCGCCAGGGTCAGTACCATTGTCCTGGCGGGGGGGCACAGGACCAGGCGATCGCTCATCTGAGGCCAGATGGACGTGGTGTAAACAGCCAGGAGAACGCCACCTGAAACATAAACACAGCTTCACATGTCTTCATATGTACCCAGGACTACATGTAGCAGGCTGTGGAACTCCTTACCAGCCTCGGTCTTCCCTGACAGTCCTAATATTTAATATGACCAAGTTCAACAGATTCCTGCTAAGCTCCTCCTAGAGATTTTCTACTTTTTGATTGTTTATTCATACATTCATACCATATAATGTAATTGATAGAGGTACAGTATGGGTCATTAAGTGAGGTTGATTAATGTGACATTTAGTGATTGGGCCGAAAATCATTGATATACAGTGCCAACACCAGGCTCATTTTGTATCTTTTTTAAATAAGAGTCTAAGAAAAGTGTTAGTGTGACCTTGGACAGTGAGTGAAGGACTTACCCAGAAACCCCTGGTAGGTGGGGAGGAACTGGATTGCAGCAGCGCCACCTATCCCTCCAGCCAGGAACCACAGGGGGCTGCCCGTCAGCCAATCAGACGAGGACAGCAGCAGCCCGTTGGCCAATCCCAGCAGCACCAGACTCCTGGGGGGGGAGGGAGCAAAACATCTGGGTTTAAAACAAAATGTTTGATTTGATTGATTTGATTTATTGGAATTGTAACACTAACAGCACAATACACATGGGACACAGGCAGATGTTGCCGGTGTTGTGTCCCACACATACTCATTTTCACTTGAGTTAAGTGAGGAAAGTCGTGTAAAGTGCCTATCCTAAGGGCTCAAGATCAGCGGCATGTCAGGACTCGAACCCGGGACCTCTTGGTTCCGAGTCGAGCCATTATGCCACACAACCCCACCATGTTTCTCTTTGCACTGAGGTTCAACTTAAATTCTGGGCAACATGCTACTCTGTACAGGAAGGCAACTAAGATGTACACCAAGACACAAATATGTAAGCAGAATGGCCAGATGTATCTTAAATGTACTATTGTGTCCAGAACTGTGCCCTGAAAAAAATAAGATTAGGATCAGGCATTGTATAAAGCACAGTTCTGGATAAAGCACAGTTCTGGATAAAGCACAGTTCTGGATAAAGCACAGTTCTGGATAGGGCACAGTTCTGGATAAAGCACAGTTTTGGATAGAGCACAGTTCTGGATAGAGCACAGTTCTGGATAAAGCACAGTTCTGGACAGAACACAGTTCTGGATAAAGCACAGTTCTGGATAAAGCACAGTTCTGGATAGAGCACAGTTCTGGATAAAGCACAGTTCTGGATAGATCAGGATTCTGGATAGAGCACAGTTCTGGATAAAGCACAGTTCTGGACAGAACACAGTTCTGGACAGAACACAGTTCTGGATAAAGCACAGGTCTGGATAGAGCACAGTTCTGGAAACATGTACTTACCCCCATGGGTTCGGTGCAGGCCCCGGGTCGGGATATCCCGTCACGACCCAGCGAGACACGACAGACACCTCCCCGTAGATCGCCTGGGTCAGGAACAGCAGACTGCCAAAACCCACGGACACCAGAACCCAGCTGGGACGCTGGGTGGGGCGTGGGTCATCCTTCCCTGGGTTCTCATAATCATCTGGTGGGGAAAACAGTTAGATGTAATTTGGTCTTTACTGGGTCTTAAGCTGGTGTGTTACCCTGAAAGGCGGTTATACCGGCTATACAGATACAGATACATTACATCTTATTTGATATATAAGCTGTGAGCACTGCAAAAAACCCTATGATTACAGGCAAAAGAGTTTGGTTTTCAGCACCAAGGACAGGAATAAACCTAAGTCTTCTCCAAACTGATCTGTGAGTGCCCAAAACTAACCTGCCAGTGCCCTGTCCACTATAGCCACTGCCCCCACAGCCAGGACGACACTGTTAGTGGTGATGTCTGCCCAGGCAGGGCTGAGAGATGTGTACCAGACCCGACCTGCCAGCAGCGCGAAGAACCCCAGCATCAGGCCCCAGAACGACACTGTCCTGAAAATACATGAAAATTGTAAATTTCAATCTATCTAGGGTCTTTGAGGAAGTAATGAGTCATTACTGGGTTCATCCTTAGCAGTTATTCACACTATTTTACTATGCTTGCCACCACAACTTTTACCAGTGTTCTGTTTGAGCATAGGGGCCCGCACTATGCAGTGATTTGGACCCCCTATGCTGTGATCTATCTCCTTTGCTGTCTTTCAACCAGTGCAGTGGTGTTTCCATCTTCATCATTTTAAATTCTAAAGACATGCTTGGACACTGCTAACACTGATAAAAGAATGTCAAGAAATATTCCCCGCATTTGAGGCATTGCCAAAACAAACCCACCTCTGGAAGTTGGATCTATTCCACAGTGTCCACACAAAGACAAGCATAGCTGTTAGTTAAAACCTAGAGATTCAATGATTGTGAACTTGTACTGAGTGAAACCCAGTACCTACAGACCACGTCTAGTGTAGTAACAGTAAGATGATAAGCAAGACAAGTACAACAAAAACAAACCTACCTCTGAAAGTTGGATTTGTTCCACAGCGTCCCGACGAAGACGAGCATGGCGGCAGCGTTCCCCATGGCCAGCACGACCAGCCGGGCGAGCGTGGAGGGGGCCTGGAACGACGCAACGCAGCCGACGGTCACGGCACGGAGCAGCGCCAGGCCCCACCGTGTCTGCACCGCATGGAACACCGCACCTGTAACAGTGATGTATGCCTGATTTGGAGGGGGGATAGTGTAACAGGGCCAGAGTGGAGGGAACCTGGAACAATGCAATGCATCCGACGGTAAAGTGTATTGCCTATTTGCTGGTTAGAATACATTGTACTTTTTTTCGTAGTTTCGCATTTCGTATATCTATTGTTAGTTCCCATCTGTAATCGCAGGAGTAACTATGTAACTTGACCACAGTTGTATGACTTGTAAGATGAGCAGAAGAACATTTTTCTCTGTTACACCTCTAGAGTAAGACTGTGTTACGTACCGACTCCCGCCAGCGCCGGAGTGAAGGCCGCCAGCACGAACGCCTCGTAACCCGATATCTCCAGCTCGTTCAGCGGGTAGAACCAGATCATCGGCCCGAACCCGTGCAGCAGAGACCAGAAGATGAACCCTGGGAGGATTAAAGGTTGAAAATTCAGTCCAAGTTCCAACCCTGGGAATGAATGGATTAACGTTTATATGGAACTTTTTTTATGGAGTCCAATTATATAGTTTTAACACGAGTTCAACGAAAAGAAAATCACCTTGAAACAAGGATTTTGGATGCTATAGCGACCCACTCACTTCTGGGCAATAAACTTTTTAATGGAAACTGTCAGATGTTGTCCTAAGCAGCTGATATAAGTTTTCCTGTTATATATAATTACTCTACAGGAGGAAATAGCTCCTCGGCACGCATAATAAAGACATTATTTCTCGGCACCACAGGTACTTGAGAAGTAATAAAACCCCAGATCCAAGTCCTACCGAGAACTGTCTCCGCGGCCTGAGCCCGGACCAGAGAGCAAGGCTTCCGGTAACGGCCCCCTCCCCATGCACGCACAAATTATACAGACATGATTTCTCGGCACTGTGGCTACGTAAGAAGTACTAAAACCCCAGACCCAGACCCTACCTAGCACGGTCTCCGCGGCCAGAGCCCGCACCACAGCCAGGCCGTCCGGTGCGGCCGCCGGTTTCGCCTTCTTCGCTCTTCCTTCCGCCACTTTTTCTCGGGCCGGCGCCATGTTTGCCGGTCAGAGGTCGCCGGAACAAACCACTGCACTAGAGGGTAAGCAGGTTTAAAGAACTGTGTTGTAACCACTAACGTTATACTTACAAGCAAAAACTTATATCTGTAGTGTATTAGCAAAATAACTGTATTGTACGGTAAAATGTGCCATTACTGTTACTTGTGTCCTTTTCACAACAGAATACAATCTTAAGTCCCTCCACTTGCAATGGTACACCCCTAAGTGGGCGGCAACTTTACCAGGTGAAGAGAGAGAGTCCAAAGGTTGTTTTTTCTGGCCTTTCTCCGGCCGGGAAAGCTTTGGTCAGCACACATGTTGAGGTTGGCATGTGCCGTCAGGGTTACAAGTTTGTCTAGTCTGGGCGCCAGGGGTAAGGTGACGTCACAGTTAAGGGTGAACGTGAGTTCGGGACAACCGGGACTTTACTTTTCTTGTGTGTGGTCTTTGATCTTTCTGCGCTTCAGCTCAGAACTTTCCCCAAGTTTCCGTAGCCTCTACTGTGATTGATCGGAGTTGTGCTGATCTTAGCTGATTTCCCTGAGTTTTCCAGGGTAAGACAATTTGCTTTTTAATCTCTCTTTATTTTTATGATATTGATTTACTAGAAACAACTTCATACACATGACATCAGACATAACTTTCAAAATTAATGGCTTGTTCTAATGCTTGTTGAAAATATCACGATGATCATTATAGATTTCACGATTTTTAAGTCAATGTTTGTTTTCCCTTCTTTCCTCCTCCGCTTTGTGAATGTATCAAAATCTTTGTCTCTCTCTTTGATTGTTTTAAGATAATAATTGCAGAATAAATAATTTTCCAGTAAGTATTAAGTTAAGTTCATCATGGTCTGTTGCCTACTGTGTCCCACTAAAGGAACCCCTCTAAAATCACCTTTGACACACTTCAGAAGAGCAACATTCACTAGGTCATTGACCTAGTATGATTTTATTATAATCTATAATTTCAACAAACCATTTTGGATAAAGCACAGTTCTGGAAATGCATGGACCATCCAGAACTGAGCATGGTTCTGGATAAAGCACAGTTCTGGCTACATTTTGCCCTGTCCACAGGTGTCTCCATATCCAAGAACGTAGATTTACCCCAGGCACAGTTCTGGATACGCATGGATTGTCCAGAATCGTGCCTGAGTGTTCTGGATTTGCCCTGTCCACAGGTGCAGGTGCGACGAGCTGTAGCAGCCATGCCGACTCCTAAGAAGAAGGCAGTTATATTTGACATGGGAGGAGTTCTGGTGACTCCCCCTCAGTGGGCCATCAACAACTACGAGAAATCACTGGGACTTCCCAGGTAACAGTAAAACTTATATTTATCATTGTTACCGAGATAAGGAGGAAGTTATTTCTTATATTCTTTGGAAGCCTAGAGGGTAAGGACATTGCAGAAGCCTGACTTTAACTAATACATTAACAAGAGACACTGGAATAGAGTTAGAATATCTAGGAAATGTAATATCAAACAGGTAATAGTTAATAAGAAGGAGGGCCTGCATGCCCTTTTGTATAACTATAAGGCGTAATCAGGCCTTTTTAGTCTTCGCAATCCATAGGCAGCCGCCCAAAATCATCATAATTTGTAAGCCTTACATTAGCCGTAACGTGTAATTGTCCACAATCAGCACTGCAAATTCACTCATGGGCAGCAAAAATTTTGCCTAATTCATAATCACTATCCCCCTTGCTTTAATCGCAGGCTGTCAAGAAATGAAATATGAGGTTCTAAAGTGGCAAATTTCACCTTAAGACAATGCTGTACGTAGCAGTTACGATTTGCAAGCCATGATGTCCTTTCTCTTTGTTAATAAATTTTCTTCTTGCCAGGATGTTTATCCAGGGAGTGATGATGAAGGGAATGCCAAACAACGCCTTCTGTCAGCTGGAGAGGGGAGAGCTCACCTTGTCTCAGGTACCAAAGAACTTAGAGAGATTTTTGTGATATTTTAGGATTTCTCGGTCTCTACAAAGATTCTGCCATATTTCCCAACTCCCAGGAGAGTGGAACATTCAAGTAAAATGATTTCACTTCTGGACCAAGAGATTGGGAGTTTGAATCCCGGCTGTTGTCGCTCACCCACCATGCATGCTACTGGAAAGGGTAGCAGTTCTTAGGACGGGACGTTAAGCCGAGGTCCACTGTTCATTGTGCTTGTTGAAAAGAGCCAGGGGAATTTCCCTTATATATGTTGAACCTGTAAATATTGTCACAACCAGTGGGAGGAATTTAACCCTTCAGTGATCTAAAAGTAAAACAGGATTGAGATCACTTTTTTTTTTACTATGATGAAAGTTCTTCTGTATTGCAATTGTTAGTTCCATGTTAAAAGTCAAAACTTTTGATCCAACACAAGTTGAAGTTCTCTCACCTAGATCTTTCAACCAGTCACTCTGGTTTTCCTCCCTGGAATGACCAAGTGTGGCTGCTTGTGTTGGATCAAACGTTTTAACTCTTAACACCTTCCTTTCTCTCCTCCTAGTTCTTCTCGGCGTTCACCACAGAGCTGCATGAGGCAGCGGGGGAGGGGGGCGTGGAGCTGCCGGCAGACTTCAGCGTCCAGCAGATGTTTCAGCAGATGCAGGGTGGACAGGTCGTCGGGGTCATGATCAAGGCTGTCAGGAACCTACGCAAACATGGTACACAGTACAGGGTTTGCAGACATGGTACAAACCTCTGCAAACATGGTGTCCTTAACATGGTATGGGATCCATATACACGGTACAGGGTTCGTTTGTACAGGGCTGTCAGGACCCTACACAAATATGGTACGCAGTACAGGGTTTGCAACCATGACAAGGTTTGCAAATACGTTACAGGGCTCACAACTCACAAGCATTGTACTTGGCTCAAAAACAATTGGTACACAGTTTGCTAACACCGGGCAAGGTTTGTTGACAGTAAGAACTTTGATATTTCTGCTGACTCTGTCTCCCCAGGAGACCTGCACCAACATTAGTGTGGTGTGGAATCATCAGATGACATCTTTTAAGTCACAATCATTCATCAGTATGACATCTGAAGAACCTTTTATATTCAACCTGTCATGCACTCTTTCCCACCAGGAGTGAAGACCTGCATCCTGACCAACAACTGGCTAGACGACACGGCCGTGCGGGAGGGGGGCCCCGCCGCCGTGCTGGTATTGTTCCGCCGGCTGTTTGACCTTGTGGTGGAGTCATGTCGGGTCGGCCTGAGGAAACCCGATCCCGCCATCTTCCACCTCACCTGCAGACAGCTCGGGGTACAGCCGCAGGAGGTTTGTTTGTTTGTTTAGGATCTCCATTAGTGTGAATTTCACACTACTCTTCCTGGAGTCCGTAGTGAATAATCAGACCAGTATTTGGACCATCGCACACCGAGGCATGCCCCTACTCTTTTTCGAAAGGTGTGATGGGTTCTTTAACGTGCGTGAGGTGTGGCTCTCCCCAAACACAGGACCTCCATTTAACATCCTATCTGTGGGGGTACAGCCACAGGAGGTACGTATGTACACATGGCCACAATGTCTAACAGTAACAGTTACAAGTTTCTAACAGTAACAGTTACAACTTTGGTAAATCTTCCACCTCACATGCAGACAGCTGGGAGTACAGCCACAGGAGGTATGTGCATGCATGTACGGCCACATTCAACAAGTGTCAGATATCTACCTTTCATCAGAGACTGAGTCAGTAGTGGATGCTACTTGAAACATCTGCTAGTTTTCAAAATCTATCCAGTTGCTTGAGTAACAGTTTTGTAAAGCAAAAAAATCATTCACTCCCTGAGAAAGTGCACCAGGCTTTCCTCTCAGTCTCTGTTTTCATCTTCTAGCTGATACCCTTATAAAGGGAAATAGATCTGATGTTTGTTTGTTTGTTTGTGCAGGCTGTGTTCCTGGATGACATTGGGAATAACGTGAAAGCTGCTCGGCAGCTCGGCATCACTACTATCCTGGTGCGAGACTTTGACAAGGCAGTCAGGGAGTTAGAGGAGGCTGTAGGGCTCGAGGTGCGTGTTTATCAGTGTTATGTTATACTTGACAATGTGTATAATATTATGCAGATCCATACTCAGGCGCATTTCTGGATGATACATGTACATATGTTTGACAGTTTATCCAAAAACATAGATTTGCCCCAGACAGTAAGGCTGCAGGTAATGGGGTTAGGGGAGGCAATAGGGCTGGAGGTGAGGTCTGTTAAACACTGTTGTACATTACATACATGTACTGTTGTATCCAAACCATGCTTTAGCCAGAAATATGATCAGGCACTTTTCTGGGTAGTCCGACTCCAAGCGTATCCAGAACCATGCATGGCCTGCTGGAGGAGGCTGTAGGACTGGAGGTCTGTGTTAAACACGGATGTTTCTGTAGATCTTTAGTTGTAGAAGATCATACAAAAGTCCCTGTCCCTGTATCTAGAAACGTGCTTTATCGAGAAACATGCTTACTATAGTTCAAGCGTATCCATAGCCATGCATGGCCATGGGGCAAATCTACGTTCTTGGATATGCGAAGACTATCCAGAACCGTTCCTGAGCCTAAACCTAACCCATTCAGGTAAGAATTAGATAGACATGGATAGACACTGTTCTGAATAAGATTAATGGTTAATTTATTCCTTTGTTATGCTATGTACTGATGGTATATATGTTGACTCTGTCTCTCATCTTTCAGTTGACCAGGTTCCCTCCCCCTGCTGTGGCCTGTAAACCTGAGGAAGTTCCACACTGCTACATCACACTCAAGGTACAGGATTTAGGCATGGGACATTAGTCTGATTAGATAACTATTGCAGATTAGCCTTTAATTAGAAATGTTGAAGCAGTTTTCTCTGTGTTGTGACACTGTTTTGTCTCTGTTTGGTCAGAGTGGAAATAAAGGACAAATAGCAAGAAAGCTCAGCATGATTAAGGGAAAAATGAACAATGTCTGAAGTTTACATGTTTAATGTGATACAAACTTCACGTTTTTCAGCAGCAACTGTTTTCCTCTTTCTCCCCAGACTGGCATCAAGCTCCACTACGTAGACGTGGGAGACGGGCCTGTGGTGATCCTGTGTCACGGCTTCCCAGAGTCATGGTACTCATGGAGGTACCAGGTACGTGTATGTAGTTGGCCTTTGGTGGAAGATACATGACAAGACATTTCTTCTCTTGGTTGTATGCAGTACATATGTGAGATGGTCAGGAAAAAAGTCCTGCCTGGGCCAAAATCACGATCAGTATGTTACTGAATGGACTGTAGACGTTTTTTAAATATTGTGACAGATTTTATGTATTTATGTATGACAATGGTGGAACGAACCGTAAATATTTATAATGTGTTATATTTTAAGCTGTGATTTAATCAATTTAACTGATCTTAAAACTACTGTAAAGTCTGGCGTAATTCAGTCTGTTGACTGCCATGTCAGATTGTGCTTCTTCTTTAATAAACCAATCATCATCATCTTGACTTGTATTTGTCTGCTGTAGATCCCAGCCCTGTCCCTGGCTGGTTATAGAGTCATCGCGCTGGACCAGAGAGGGTACGGGGACTCCAGCTGTCCTACAGGTCAGTAAACAGTTGTTTCCGGGTTACTGTATCCAGAACCCTGCCTATCTAGTTCTATGCCTGAGTGGGTTAAAGTTAGGCATGGTCCTAGATACAATGTAGTCTCCACGTATCCAAGAATGTAGATTTGCCCCAGGCACAGTTCTGGATATACATGGTTCTGGAAATCAAACAACAGGTTACGTCGATGAAGGTTAGACATCCAGGTAATACAATATGCCAAAAAACAGTTACTCAAGCAACTGGATATGAAACAACAGGTTCCCCGGCCAGGATGCACCTTTGCTGTACTATATCATAGCAGATTGAGTTTGTCACATTTCTATGATATTCATGTATTTATTTGTTTGTTTGTATGTATGTGCTTCATGTTTGTATTTTTTTTCCCACACACAGAGATAGAAGCCTACACTCATGAGGAGCTGACTGGGGTAGGTTATAAACTCACTCAGAAATCAGAATCAGACGTATCTGATCGAACCCTGGTTATGTTACTGCTTTCAGTAGTGCCTATTACTAGTATATCATTGTGCAGAGCTAGACTCTACATGCCAATTGGTTATCAAGGCATAAGTCATTGTCAGTTTATAATGTTATAAACTAAATTAAGATTAAAATCTTAATAACATTATAATATTCTATGAAGATTACACTGTTGTACAGTTTGTATTCAGTCTTAAAGTACAGGAAAACTGAATCTGATGTGGGCTTTAAATACTGTAAATTTCTATATTGCATTAATTTTGTATCCTTTTCTTTTCCATGTTAGGATATCATTGGCCTTATGAATGCACTGGTGAGTATTACATGTTGTAGTTATATGATTCTGTGATGATTCTGTGGGTTGGCTAACACCATTTTTAGCACCAAGGACAGAGCAATTTGTTCCAATTGTTGCTGCCTTGTACCTAGTAGTAAGTGAGTGAGTTATAGTTGGTAATCCATGGGTTGGACATGGGTAACGCCATTTTCAGGACCAAGGACAGGGTTAATTTATTCCCAGGGATTTAACATGGTCACAACTGTTACTTCATGCACTGCAGTTTTTCCTATGTAATATAACTAAATTTTGTAAAATTTTGTTAAAAAAAGCTAAAGTAGTAGATTGATACCTTATTGGACTCTGCATTGACTGGTACCATTGTCCCCAGGACATCCCCCAAGCAACAGTGGTGGGCCATGACTGGGGAGGGGCCATCGTGTGGGCTCTCAGCTTACATTATCCGGACAGGATCAGGTAGGGACTATCGTATACCCCTGAATGGGTTAGGGCTAGGATCAGGCAGGGTTCTGGATAGTCCTCCTCGTTTCTAATAACTTAGATTTGCCCCAGGCACGGTTCTGGATAAATGAACATCTATCTATGCAGCACTGTTCATAAGCATGACTGTTGTTTGAGCATGTTATTTGATGACTGTTACCTCGGTGAAGGTTAGACATCCAGGTAATAAGATACGCCAAAAACAACAGTTACTCAAGCAGCTTAATCTCCTGTTCTGAAGCAACAGGAGCTATTTGTCTGTCAAATAGCTCTCATTGTTTCAGAACAGGAGATTAAATGTGACAAAAGGTAGTGGATACTTCCTGAAACATCTGACCATTTCCAAAATCATATCCAGTTGCTTGAGTAACTGCTTTTTGACTGTTGTTTATTGGCTGTTGGTTATTGACTGTTGTCTGTTTTTTGTCCAGGGGGGTTGCTGGAGTGAACACCCCCTTCTTCCCGGCCAACCCGGAGGGGGGTAGCCCCCTGGAGAGGATGAAGAAGAACCCTCGACAGTTTGACTACCAGCTCTACTTCCAGCAACCGGTGAGATACAAACTTTTGATTTCTCACATACTCTGTGATATATACTAGAAGAAGAACTTTAATGCATGACAATTGTACATGGTACAAAAGAAAAGGGTATAGGATAAAAATTAACATCCTAATTACCAAACATCAAGAGCTAATACAGTATACAATGAACTATGCAGCCTTTCTGACTTGTGTGTTAAGTGTTGTTGAGACCTCCAATCAGGCCCTGTTTTATCCAGAACTGTTATTCATCCAGATCCATGCTCAGGCACAGTTCTGGATAGTCCACACTTATCCAGAACTGTGCCTGGGGCAAATCTATGTTCTTGGATATGCAGAGACTATCCAGAACCGTGCCTGATCCTAACCCTAACCCATTCAGGCGTAGAACTAGATAGGCACGGTTCTGGATACAATATGTAGGCAGCCTTTGTGACTTAAGACCCCCATGCAGGCCCCCATTACTGTGCAGACAGTGATATGAAATGTCCCCATGCTGTGCCTCCTACAGGGCGTTGCTGAGGCGGAGTTTGAGAAGAACCTGGAGAGAACTCTCAACGCCTTCTTTAGAAGTTCCAAAAAGGAGGTTTGTGCCACTTCAACCTACAGGAAATACTGGAAATATTATTAAGTCTTTTGTGCTGACCTAGCCTCTAATACAATTAATAGCTGCAAAATTGTACTACCATGGATAATCATATGTGTACTTCTACTGTACCACAGAATTGTTTTAGGCAAAAACCTTTTCCATTCTAATCAAAATTGCACTACCATTGATACATGTCGTGTACTTCTATTATACCACAGAATTGTTTCAGCTGAAAATCTTTCCCATCCTACCCTGAGTACAATGTAGTATCACTGCAAAAGTACATGCAATTACTGTATTTGACCAGAGTTGAGTTTGAAGGAATGATTTCAGGTGTGTTTTTGTCCCTTGTGTTTCAGGACTGGCCCTTTGATAGGAAGGGTCTGGGGACTGACAACGTCAGGGCAAGGGGTGAGTCAACTGTCTACGGCCATACATGTACCAACTGGTGCAGGTCTCAGATACTAGAAACCTGAACTGGTGAATCAACTTGAAAAGAAAGTGTGCAGGAAAGTAAATTTTATACTTTGGAACACAGAAAGTCAGATTCTAGTCTTCTCAGCCTTTTGTTTTCGTCTCACTGAAAACTACATTAGAATAGGATATCAGGGTTTTCTTTTACACATTCAACCAATCTTGTCTTACCTAGCTTACGCTTTGGTGTCAGACACTTTCCTCAAAGCTTCTGACTGGGGTTTTGAGTAAGAACAAGAGAAGATTAGTTGTGTAAAAGAAAACCCCTATATTCTATACTCTACCAACCTGATGAAACTATTTTCGGGAATGTACTCTAGAATGTTGAAAGATGGAGATTGAGGTGTAATTCTTGCCTTCTCCACCAGGGGGCATGCTTGTGGGTTTCCCCGATGTCATACCTCTGAGTCTGATGATGAAACAGGAGGAGATCGAGTACTACGTGCAGCAGTTCGGCAAGTCAGGCTTCAGGGGTCCGCTGAACTGGTACAGGAACGTTGACGCCAACTGGAGATGGAATAACAAAACTGCTGGGAGAAAGGTCAGCAGTTTT